AAATTTAATCTGGTAAATTGTATTTAGCAATCGATTAGATATTGTCAATTTCATGAACACGTTCTACATTAATGGTCTATCTCAAATGTATATGTACTCCTTGCAATATTTCCATATATTTGTAAGTACTGTATTTTATAACTACGGTCGCCAATGAACTAGTTGTTTCTAAGGCGACCTTAAATAATTAATTTCAAAAAAGAATCAGTGTATCACAAAAAAGTGAAGACCAAGAAACTTTATTGAAGTAAACTCACAACTGAAGAACTAAAGATTAAGTTTGACCTTGAATTTGTGTTTTTTCAATTTACAGTTTCCTACAGAACTCGCAAGAAGTGAAACGTAAGTTAGTTAATGTCAAATTTGAAGAAAAGATGACAAATATAACGTTCGGTCACGATCTTCTTTGACCTGGAGACCGCTCAGATTAGCATCTTATTGAACTCTCTCGAGTAATGGATCAAGCAACACAAATATTACTGGAGCATTAGAACCTTGATATCTTCAAACTTGTACCGTTTCACTTAATATGCACATTTACAAAGAAACTAAGCCAAGTGCGGAGGATTGACAAAAGTTATTCCTTTCTTTCCCTTGATTCTCGAATGCACTCACCAGCAGAAGCGGCTCAGGGCATTAACTGACGTCGCTGCAGAACCTCTGACTGGGAGAGGTCCTAGACGTCGAGTTCTGACGGTGATAGGATTTTCGACACTAGCTAGACAGTTAGGTCAAATTGAGTGGTTGCCTGGAGGTAGATTCTAGCGGCCATCTGTTCAGATTGATAGTTTTGCGTGGCGTCTACGATCAAACCCAAGCGAATGCCGGAGCAGTACCCTAACAAACGGGCCACGGACCATGCGCGATATTTCCTTCCTCTTCCTTGTCCAGTATTCACCCCTTACTTACACACACACTCACCACTCACACGCACTACATTATCACACATGTAAAGAGACCAGTCGGGAGCTTAGAGCTGGTCCTGGCTGGGGCGGTGCCACCCTGGTGGAAGATACCTGAGGAAAATCGTCGGAAGCCGGTGTATATCAGTGTCGAATCTTGCCATCAAGCCTGGGAAGATCACTGCTACCTCCCACGACAAAAACATACACTATAGTTACGCGATTAATGATCTTAGCGGTGGACGCGTTCAGAATCACTAATCAATCAAATACATCTGAACACGGAAACTGCCGGTAAATAGAGCACAGATTAAATACAAAAATATTAATTTATTCGCGATGAACATACTAGTGAATCGTCGAAGTCTGAAAAAAACACCATCCATCAACATCAAAGAAAACACAGATTTACTAATTTCCTGTCATTTAATCAATGGTTACCAGGGGAGGAGGAATTCACTTTTGCTACAAAAATATTTTAATTTTTACTTATAGTAAAATTGGGAAGTGCGATCTAGAGAATAACATACTTGTGTTGAAGTCAGATCACTGACAGTTCGTTGAAGTCAGTTTACTGACAGTTTTCTGTCACGATCGCAACTGAAATCAATTAATCTCCGGCAACAATATTCAGGGATTTGGATTACGGACACTCACAATAGTGCAAAGCCTGCTCGTGACAATTACAGCTCGCGGTGAAAATTGAAGAAATGATGATTAACGAACGAATTAATAGACGAATTTACAGACCCTCAAAGTTTACGTATGAGGTAAGATGTTTAAAGAACACAATAGCATCTCTGTATTTGAGAGATGCATATCTTCTCCTTACTTCTTGATTCACTTGTCTTAGGAAAAGACCAGCAGTATTCAACAATTTGTTTTCTAAAGGAATCCCATTTAGTTTGGTTCAGTGTTACACTGCACGTAGTATTAGAATTACAACGTATGTGTTTGAATTCCCATAATAAATTGGAATTCGAGAAATGTTATGTTTTGAAAGCGGGTAATTCTACGGGGCAAAAGACAGAATTTTATTTTAAAAGAAAAGTAGTCCACGCAACATTTCCTACCATAAAGCGTACTGAAGAAGCATCGTTCCCTCAGTAGCTTTTCGCTGAAATCTGGCAATTTATCACAGCGCTATGCGGAATAGCGAGTAAAGCTTGACTTCCGCGCTTGCCTCCCAACTGTCCAGATTAACAGGTCCGTGCTCAATCTCGTAGAAGACCCAGATTAAACTCGCGAACCTGCAGTGCTTATACTTTATTCAGGTTATCGGCGCAGACAACTATCGTGCGGTAGGCCAAGGCTGAACTCTCGGCTTTGCGGAAAATTGGCTGGTTTTCATCAGCAAAAGAAATAGAGGAACTTTCTTTTAGAACACTGATATTCAACACTAAAGAAGTTGAACAATGTATAAATGTTTCTTTTCTTACAGAAAATGCTTAGTATTTGTTGATCAATCGCATAAAAAAAGCAAGAAAGTTTAAAACAGTTCAACAGATAAATAGTATGTAAACTCACCTAAGATGCAAATCGGCCATCCGCTTATCAAGTTGACAACTCTTATTTCTTTTAAAGTCGAGCTCCAATTCGGAAAGAAACAAATAAAAAAAGCAGAACTAACCGATATTCAGAGAAAAATTTATTTAATAGCCTCAGAATTTCTTTCCATTAAATACTAATTATATTTAAAAGCTGAAAAAGTAACTATTTCGAATTATCTAAACTTAACCTTTACAAATCATTAACGTCCGTAGATAGTAATAACTTAACGTGAGCATAGTCGATAGCCAATAAACCTTATGGTGAACGTAAAAATTGTGGATAAACAACAATTTCTTCGCAGGATTCAATAATTCGAATTATCCAATGTATAATGAATTAAGATCCACAAAATAAATATCGAGAGACTTACTGAATTAACTGAATATCAATGACTTTTCTCTACTACCTTCACACTTTACATACCATTCATGTTGAAAATTAAAAAAAATCACAAAATCAACGTTAGCAGTAGCTACGAGAATTACTAATTTATCAATTTTACTTTCTCGAATACTACGGAGAACAAAGAAAGTATGGTAATGCCGAAAAAAAGGAAAAAAAAAACAACAACGGTGAATTGTAACAGAAAAATCCTTATTGTGGGGCCCTGATATTGAAAAGTAGTTAAATCATGTTCCTCTCCCATTCTATGGCCCGCGAATTTGAAACTAATATTGTTTTGATTTCTGAGGGTTCTTCACATGAAGCCTTAACATATTCATTGTTGGCCCAAACGACTCCAAATCATATGATTAAATTTTCCTTTGGATGTACCAAACTAATGGCACTGTCGTCTCATCTTCGTTAAACTCTCTGAATTTTAGAAAATTTCAAATGTTGAAATTCTTTTCAGTGTCTGCCTACAACTAAAATATTGAAACTATATTATTCAAGATAAACATATTTTTTCCTCATCGAAATCTGTTTTGAGACAACTTTAAATAAGGTAACAATCTTTCGAAAATGTGTGTAATTTTGGGTAATTTTGCGTGAGATTACGCAATTTGTAAACACAGAACGTATAGGCAAACTGTCACTCTTACCGGAACTTTCAAACGCGATTTTAACATCAGTAACAATAGTATTTAAACTGATCTTATTTACAATTACTTCAGGAATTCAAAAAATACTATATAACAGAGAGAGTCCACCAGTAATTTGGGGCAGCATCAGAATGAAAAGGAAAATTTGGTAACATTTTAAAATATCGTACCTTTCATAAAGCAAATTGAATATAAATGTAAGTTTTTTAAAAATTGCACATAGCCATTTTTGCCTTAAGATCAATCATTAAAAAATTGCGCAAGAAAAAAAATGCCCCAAAATTCATGGTTTGATGAACACCAAAACTTTTTCCGAAGTAAGGTTGAGGTTGAAAATTTAGATTTCTTAATAATAAACAAAAAATGTCTTCTTCCTTGCAAGGTGGACCCCCTAATTGCTCTTTCCATCGACTGCATTAGTAGGACACGCGAGAAAGAAAAAACGCCTTTTCAGTAACAGGGGAACCCCACAACGTTTATTTTTGTTGAAGTCTCGAAATCGATTTTCCGCAGCATTACACAGATTCCTCTGTACTACGTTTATTGTCCCGTATAGATTGTACGTATGGAACGTAATAATCGATAAGTTATCTTGCACGTTCATATAACTTTCTCTACAACACGTGAACGTGTGGTGGTGTTGATTCCGAGTGTATCAACTATTTATGTATTTAGTCACGTAAATATAGCGTACGTTTTATTCCGGGAAATACCCGGGTTCTCCACCGAAACGTGAGGTACAGCATCGACGTACATGACTGTTGGCATTTTCTTCTCCAGGTACGCGAACACCTCTCCATCCGAGAGATGCTCTAAACTTCCGACTGGTATCCCGTGGTAACAATGTTGCTGCTAACCCTACGTGCAAAAAAGTTTAAAATTCTGTCCTCAAAGGGGATCAGGATCCGTATTTCTATGATAGCTGGAAGTGACAGGTTGCAGTGGCAACTTCCTGAGAAAATCCTCCGTTCCCCGCTTCATGTTCCCCCTTAACAACGCAATCACTCACAGCGTCAATCACTTTTTTCGCCCCTTGTGCAAGGGCTCCGTTGTGTGACAGGCGATCGCTCGACTGGGAAAAGACGCCATCTTGTCTCCCGTCGCTCTCCGCGCTGTCTATCGGAGAGATCCGACCCTCGTGAATCCTGGGAGCTGTCACTTCGCCGGGCAAACGGTTCAACGCGCGCTGGAGAGGTAATATTGCAAGAGACTACGGTTCAGTTCGCCTTATTTCTTCCATTGGGTTCGGCATTTTGTAGCACCGGCGTTTTCCTTACACACGCCTATGTGTGTGTGTATGTGTATTCAATACCACAATGGGGATATGTTGGGGTTACAGTGAAAACACCTTCTAAATTCAAGAGCCACTTTGAAAAATTAGAATTTTTCAGACTTACCAAAAATCGTAATTATTATTGAACATACTGACATATTATTTTTTTAATACAAAGAAATAAAATCATTTCGTTTAATAACACAGTAAAGAGTAAGTAACTCTTATTACCCTACGTGCCTCGTCTCGACGTCCTAAAGAAAAGAAAAAAAACAATTTATGGAAATTTAATTTTTTAAATTGAATTTGTTGCATAAAATCTGCTTGTTTCATGAGTAATTTCAGTTTGGTTCCAAAATTTGTCTATAGTCGTCTTTGAACACTACCATCTATTAACAGCTCCTTCTAATACATATGATGTTCTAGCAAAGAAATATACGCATTTTACTCATCATAATTCCTAGTATATACTTAATTTTAACAAGATTTGAAATAACAATTCCAATCGGATTATCCGATTATTCAAATTAACCATAATTTCTAAATGTAAGGAGCCATTGTTCGTTAATATAACCTCATTGCAAGAGAACATCAATTGTCCTCTTAATTATACCCCTTACTATATTTGTTCATCAATTCAACTACTATTGATGTCTCTATTGATATGTATTGACAATTGATTGCCCGATTAGTGATACCGTGCTCTTTTAAATAATTGTAGTTTTCATAAAATTAATTTTATTGTAATTTTCGAAAATACACCGTTCGCCGAAAATGGGACCTGCTACACTTTTAAGGGACTTTTTGCTACACCCAAAGAAAAAAAATGAAAGGACATGTCGGGAACGGTTTCGGAGAAAGAATTGTTTTAAAATTGCCTATATTTCACGTAAAATCTCGTAAAAGCTACCCACATTTTCATAAAAATATTTGGGAAATCGAACATGATCTACTTTAAAAATCTGCTTAAAGAACGGAATTCAATTTTTAAACGTTTATGATATCCGCGATAAACAAAATTGGAGCCCATTTTTGGAACGATTTGAAGATATTGAGGCCTCACGTAAAACTACTCCTAAAAAATAAAATCACCGTTACGAACACTCAGGCCATCAAGTTCGTCTAGAACGATTCAGTCGGTAGCGCTGTTCACAGACGATTAGACAGACGTTTGGACGTCAATCGATTTTTCGGTATCAAGAACCCACAAAACGTGGATTCTGACTACACAACGTGTAAAGAGGAAGTAATTTACTATTCATGCATACAGAAATTAAAATTTATATGCTTTTTCGATGCCAGGGTAACACATTAAGAGTCGAAAAATCGTCGATTTCTGACGCAGCATTACAACACTATGTAAGAAAAATCTTTACCATGTACGTATTATGACGAGGGATACAGGAACTGCGCAAGAATCAACATATGCTAACATTAGGCTAGTGAATGTGGAAATGCATCTTCGCTAAATAATCATTTTGTATTTGTAGACTGGGTAAAGTGATACAGGTTATTGTTCAGTTTCCCTGATTCATTGAGCAAATGCGGAGATGGCCCCTCGTTTTGCTTCTGGACGTACATGTAGCTGTACTATGCGCACGTTTTGTTGAACTCTCCTTTTTCTTGTAATGGTAAGAGTAGAGGTAAGGGCGAGTTACTATTTTGTTAGCAATGCAGAAAAATCATACTTGCAATTCGTTTGCCAATGCAAATAAGTTTTCTATAACTCGGAAACAAAAAAAAGGAATTTTTCGAATATTACTAATCTTTCTATTTTTAAAATTTATTTTTATTTATTTATTTTAAACTTTTACTCATCTTTCAACTATTTACAGTGCAAATGACGGGAAGGGATACTGTTTTTTTTCTAAATAAATCTACTCTATTGAGAATAGTTGAAAGGTTGGAAAATTGTTTCATGTAATTGCTTTTCACTTGCTACTTATATAAATATGCAACTTAAATATAGTTATTAGTATTTAAATTTTCCTGACAGAATATGTATAATACGGTTTGTGGAATGTGCACAATTGTATGTATTTTTAATGGGTATTCAGTGAAGTTTTAGTCTAACATTACTGACAAAAGATACCGATATGAAGAAAAACTTCAATGCAAATGGTTTTCATTGAAAAACGGCAATACAAGAAACAAAACTATAAAATAAAGGCGTTCTCCTGTAATCAAACCAAAAAGGTAATAAATAGGCGCGTTAAAGTTGTATATTTTAAAAATACTAGCCAGACTAGTCCGATGCATCATCTCATACTTCGTAAGGCAGGTACGCCCAGGCTCTCAATTTTATTTAGGGCCTCTACTGGGCATGTTTAATAATAATAATAATAATAATAATAATAATAATAACAACATTTACCATCGTTTATGAACAGAGAGGTCGAAAGAGTTTTGAAGAAACTTTTCATGCTCATTATCAAACACACAGACCAAGAATTGAATGGTTCGTGACAAAAGTGTCAAAAGACCTAGCTGGTGAACAATTAGGCTCAGTCATTTAAACGAACCATTTAAAACGTGATTTTGTGTTTATGGTAAGTTATTTCAAAGTGTTGGTTAAGGAAGTTTACGCTTCCATTTAAGAAGTCACGCGAGATTTTTTGTGAACTCTTAAAACTTGCATTCCAACTCTACTTACGAGAAACAACCTATGGGAATGCAATCTCTTAATAAGACGAACCCGCGTATCTTCTAGTTTTCAGCACAATGATAAATTAAAAAGTAAATGGTTAAAATGTAACCACTAATCCAAAAATGTGAAAAAGTTATAATTTTAAAGCTTTTAAAAATTGATTGAAAGTAAGCTATTCCCATTCTCGTTACTTACAATCATAATTCAAAGCAATATTGAATATCACACATAAATATAACATTTTTAACAGCAACTACAGCTTGAGGATATCTTGCTTTCATTGAAATCGTGTAAGATTGCGGACTATTGGAATATCAGTTATTATTAAATGTTGTATTTTAAAGAAATTTTTTTCTTCACTTGCTATCTATCGCATTTTCAACAATTCCACCACATCACTCAAGAACGAATTTTGTTCCATTTCAGTAAAAATGGTTTAATCTATTTTTGAAAAGCTTCTATCTTAAATTAGTTAATTTATGACTACTATTACAAGAAATTCCCCTAAGCAGCACAAATGAAAAGTAGGCTTAGTTCGGTATGATGCAGGCAAGAGTATTTTTCATTTCAGAATTTTAAACGCGTGAAACTCGCAACAGAGGGCATTTCAAACTTGATCATTTATGTTGAAAACCGTCGTCTAAAACAATGTTTACATCCCCCAAAAATAACATGTTCATATAATCAGAACGAAACAAAACTAATTTATTTCTGGGAACCAAAGACCTTGTCCAAGATCCGCAGTGCACCGCCATCAAGGACAAGTCTTTGAATACAATACTTGCGTACTGCACCATCGATTGGAAAGCAATTTATTGTTTAAAAAAATATATCGTCAAAAGTGGATTTAAAACCCTTCAGGGAATGAACAATTTTTTTATCATTCCATTTTCAACAATCAACCAATTTTGACAACACTGAAAGAGGCTGAAGGAAATAAAGTAAATGCGCACCACAATGTTCTGTTCCCCAAACAGTGAGGTGAACACGAATTATTGTAGCACTAAACATTATTTACACCCCATGTCGGCACAACAACCTCAAAACAACCATCTCGGTGCTCTTTTCCTCCCACTTTCCCGCCCCTCGGGCCAACCGCAGCCATGCTACTTCAAAGAGGTTAAAAATCTCCGCGTCACTTTTGCTCGCTCTGGATTCCACTTCCCAACTTAATTCCAGTTGCAAAACGCCGCACCGCCAGCAGATACCGGACAGGTATAAAGTGGTTACAGTGCCTTTCCCTTGAATTATGTATGGAGCGAGCCGAGCTACACGGGAGATACTTCTTGACAAGTTTGAAGAGTGATGGTCCGCCTGCCAGACGGACTTTTTACAACATTTTCTGTCGGAGGGCGAGAAAGTCACTCGAAAGAGGCCCGAAAGAACATTTTCTATGACTTTATCTTTGATTCAGGATCTGCCGAACAACAGGTTTGTGAATTTTACGGAATAAAATCGAAACCGAAAAAGTAATATTTGCAAGTTTATAATTAATTTAATATACCCAATTACGTAAACACTTTTCTACGTAGTTAATGACTACATAAAAAACGTTCTTCTATGGTAATGTTTTATTTTAACTACGTACCTTGGATTTCACTAGCAAAAAGTTACTCATATAAAAATGCAAGCGTTTCTTTAAGCAAGAACATACAATATTTGATGATTATAATAAATATTTTATTGTATACGTACGTATATACGGGTTTGTTGAACGCATCTTTCTAGTTTCCGGCCCGCCAACGGCTGTGACCATTAGTCCCATAAGTGAAGTGCATGTTTTTATCACAGGATGAGGCGGCGATCCTTCCTCCAATGAGCGGTGCGATCCGGCGCTGACTTACCCGTCGACTTGACCCCCACTGGTCTCCCGACAAGTGTGATAGTGTAGTGCACGCAAGTGTAAGTATGGGGCAAGGACAGATTTAGGAGGAGGAAGGCAAGATGGCGCGCGATCCGTGGCCCGTGTGTTAGGGTTCTGCTCCGGCAATCGCCTGGCATTGATCGGAGAAACGCCGAAAAAATGCCGATCAGAGCAGCAGGTGGCCAGAATAATTGTGTTCTTGGCACGTGAGAATTCGACATAACATTGCTGCTAGTGTCGCACTTACATCGCGTGATGCCCCGAGCCACCTAAGCCGTCGGTATATAAGGGGTAATATGCTCTAGAAAAAGTTGTGCATTGCTGCAGAAAGTCTATTTTGAAATTTGAACGCAATATTACGATTTGAACGCAATATTACGATTTGAACGCAATATTACGATTTGAACGCAATATTACGATTTTAACGCAATATTACGATTTTAACACAATATTACGATTTTAACACAATATTACGATTTTAACACAATATTACAATTTTAACACAATATTACGATTTTAACACAATATTACGATTTTAACACAATATTACGATTTTAACACAATATTGCGATTTTAACACAATATTGCGATTTTAACGTAATACCGTATTTTAAGGGTCGCGTGATACTGGAAAGCGTTTTTTTTTCTTCTTCAAAACTTCCGCTTTTCATTCGTCCGACCGTCATTTCCTTTGATGTATTCTTTTAATTTTTCAAAACGTATATAAATTATATTTTATAAATATCACTCACTTCTTTAATACTTACTTAAGGGCGGTTTTATGAAATTATGAAACGGAATGTGAAAAATCGAGTTAACCATCGTCTACTGAAATACTGGCACGTAAGCTGGTAAAGGGTGGGGTGGGGGGAGGGAAATCGAAAATCTAGATCAGACAATGAGTTAAGGAAACTAGCTAGAACGGAGACCATTGAGTGGTACCTCTAGTTTAATACAGTGCTGGTAAAAATAAATGTTTGGCAGACGAGATGAGAAAGTTATTTAGGCCTGATAATTAGTCCCTATGTTTCCTTCACCACGTAGAGTGCTCATTTTCACTAGGGAATAATATCCTATGTTACGCCACCCTATGTCATGTGTACTCTAAATTATTAATCACAAGTGAATTATGTGAGTGAAGAGTCTAATTTAAAAGTAAATGTATGTGGAATAATGTAGACGAGACAGTTTCACATTACACATTACGTTTTAATGTTAATTGAATGCATTAAATATTAATACCCTTTAAAACATTTATCAGAAGTAGAGAACAGCCAGTGAGTTTTCCGTGCAACCTGTGTTTTTACGTTTTAAAAATAACTCACATTGTTTTTTTGAACCAATGAACAACATACAGTTTTTCAAATCATCCACTAGGTATTACACAAAATAATGAAAGTCCAAAGTAAAAGATCAGAAAACGCAACAGCTGGTTACATTCTAGATTCCCTTTATGACGTTTGCATTTTAGCCGTGGAGAACAACCTGGAGTTTCAACCAACTGTTGCACAAGTTGGCACGCACGCCTTCATATGAAATATTTGTACGTTCTTTGGAGTCTCGAGATCAGACAGACTCGGTGAGTAAACCCAGACGTCTGTATAAAGAGTGCTGAGAAGTACGTCAGAGAGGCAATTCACTTCAATAACCCATCACCATTCAGAGACGTATATCCCTTGGTGTCTTACTTAAGTGTAATCCTCAAAAGAATAAATGGTGAAGAGAAACTCTTGGAGAAATGACACTCCTAAATAAAAAGAGCCATTACAGCTCGCGTTACATGATCACTACCAGTAGAACACTCCAATTTTTCAATCTACAAACTGACGAACTAACATGGAGGTGGCGTCAACCACTCGGCGAGTAAGGAAATCGTTCCCGGAGTAAATGTTTTCAACTTGTCATGTCTAAACACTAACACATACTCCATACATAAGTTGTTAATCACGATTAGAAAATTGTTTATTAAGCTTTATAAGAGTATGATGCCTAAGGATAGGAATAACATAACAGAACTATAAGCAAAAAGTTGTTTTGTTTCGTTTTACATATTTCCTGCATTTTTCAATTGGTAGTTTACAAAATTTAAAGTAGTGGTTATCAATAGCACGTACTTTCTCGGATTAAGAGTAATACTGATGAAATATTATGAGACCAATTGTGTTTTATTTACAATTCAGGAATCACTTGCAAAACTCTTAAACAAATTAAGCGCATTGTTTTTTAAATTCAACGATGTAAATGACAATAGTTTTCTACAACTGAATTGAATAAATATAGCTTCGTTATCTGAGTACGTTTTCTAGAGTTCAGTGGCAAATATAGTTGTTCAAACATCCGTTCTCCATATTCTCACGGCAATAAATCTATTCCTTCACGAAGGGCATGCCGGGTGATGAAAGCCAAGTTTTGTATCTATTTTCCCTTTTTCAAATAGTTTTTTTATTATAGGGAGTTCATATTTCCTTAAAAATTGTTGCCAGAAACGCCCCTTGCCTACTGTATTCATAATTTAACAATACGTGTAAATGAGTTTGGTTAGGAATCCCATAGCTCAAGAAAATGTTTACAGATTACTTTTCTCCTCATAGTACATCATACACAGTTATTAACGATTTTGACGTTAAGTACAATGTACCAAAATAATTCAATGGAATTACATACATAAGCGCATCAACGATGAGATTTTACCTTTAAATAAAATTGTGAGTAGATAATATTCTAGTATTCTTCAAAGCTGCTTATTTGAACATGAATTACACATTCTTCTTGTCATGGTATGCAATGATAAATACAATATTTTTCATACTATTTGAGAGAATTTTCTTTACAACATTAACTACTAGGTGAAAATAGACAGTGAGAAGAAATCTCGAGTTTGTATATCGAAAGTCGAAAGTTTCAAAAAAACATTTACACTTTTTTCATCATTAAATTCCAAATTCCCCGGAAACTCGTATTTATAAAATGTAAACGACATTATAATAAATAAGTCAATTATAAAGAGATGACTTTTTCAGAGTTGCCTTTTTTAGAGAAGAACATACTCAATCCACGAAAAGAATCCTTATCTTAGTACATTGTAGTTGTAAGGAGACGCCGAACAAATATGTAACATTTTTTCAATTTATCGATACGAAAATGTATCAGAAATTGCATCAGGCTAATACGGTATATCAGTATACAGTAACCGGCATAAAAAGGGCACGTCATTGGCTACTTTTCAGTCATATACATATCTTATGTATATTATTTCTATAGCGTGTTACATATACATTCCTGTTCCGCATGAACTACTTAGTCAATTGCAGCAAATAAGCTGGAATCACTTAAAAGCTGGAATTACACATGTCAGCAAGTGGTGTTTAAATTTTTGTGAATATTATATAAACATTAATAATACGAAAAAATAGTTTTTTTTAAAGTGTCGACATCACGCACAACTTGGCGGTAAGGCGGGTAGTATCGGGGTCAGGTAGAAAGGCGAGACAGGGGCCAGGACTGTGGCAAGGAGAAGGGTGGGTTGGGGCAGGCTAGGCAGGGCAGGCTAGGCAGGGCAGGCTAGGCAGGGCAGGCTAGGCAGGGCAGGCTAGGTCCCGCTTCTGCTCCCTTTCCCGCTGCCGCGGCCCTCGCTGGCCGCTCTCTACGTCGGCTTCTCCGCCTTACGCTGCACGCTTCTCCTCCTGAACTCCCTCGGCCTCGATCTCGCCGCCCTCGCCTCGCCGCCCTCGCTCTCGCCGCCTGCTTCGCCGCCCTCGCTCTCGCCCGCCCTGCGTCTCGCCCGCCTCGCTCTCCCGCCTCGCTCTCGGCCGCTCTCTCCGCCTCGCTTCTCCGCTCGCTTCTCCCGCCTCGCCTCTCCGCTGCTCTCCGCACCTCGCTCTTCCCGCCTCGCTCTGCCCGCTCTCTCCGCCCTCGCTCTCTCCGCCTCGCTCTCCTCTTCTCTCCCCCTCTACCTCCCTCGCCCTCGTCTCCTCCTATCTCTCCCTCCTCCGTCCTCCGCCGCCTTTTCCCCCCTCCTCCTCCTACTCCGCTCTTCCTCCCTCCCCCTCTCTTCCCCGCCCGCTCGCCGCCCGCCCGCCTCCTCCGAACGGTCATCCCACGTCCTCCGCTCACTTTCCTCCGGCCCCTCCCTACTCCCGCTCTCCTCCCTCCCTCCCCCTCTCCCTCATACCTCCATCCCGCGTTCCACGTCCTTTTCTCATCGATAAGCTCCGGCCATTCCGCTCGCTCTCTCTCGGCCTCGCTTACTCGCGCCCTCGTCTCTCCGCTCCTCGCTCTCTCTCGCCCTCGCTCTCTCCCTCGCCCTCCGCCTCTCTCTCCCCTCGCTCTCTCGCCTCGCTCCCCTCGCTCTCTCCGTCGCCTTCTCCGCTCTCTCTCCGCCTCGCTCTCCCCCCTCTCTCCCGCCCTCGCTCTCTCTCCCTCGCTCTCTCCGCCTCGCCTCCCGCCCTCGCTCTCGCCTCGCTCTCTCCCGCCCTCGCTCTCTCCCGCCTCGCTCTCTCCCGCCTCCTTCTCCCGCCCTCGCTCTCTCCCGCCTCGCTCCTCCCGCCTCGCTCTCTCGCTGCTCTCTCCCCCCTCGCTCTCTCCCGCCCTCGCTCTCTCCCGCTCGCTCTCTCTCGCCTCGCTCTCTCCGCCTCGCTCTCTCCGCCTCGCCTCTCCGCTCTCTTCCCGCTCCTTCTCCGCCATCGCTCTCTCCGCCTCGCTCTCTCCCGCCTCGCTTCTCTCCGCTCGCCTCTCCGCCCTCGCTCTTCCCGCCTCGTCTCTCCCGCCCTCGCTCTCCTCCCGCCCTCGCTCCTCCTCGCCCTCGCTCTCTCCCGCCCTCGCTTCTCCCGCCTCCTCCCGCCCGCTCCCGCTCGCTTCTCTCCGCCCTCGCTCTCCCTCCCGCCCTCGCCTCTCCCGCCCTCCGCCTCTCTCGCGCCCTCCTCTCGCCGCCCCGCTCTCGCCCGCCCTCGCTCTCGCCCGCCTCGCTCTGCCCGCCCTCGCTCTCGCCCGCCTCGCTCTCGCCCGCTCGTCTCGCCGCCTCGCTCTCGCCGCGCCCTTCGCTCTCGCCGCCTGTCTCGCCCGCTCGCGCTCTCGCTCTCGCTCTCTTCGCTCTCGTCTTCGCTCTTCTCTCTTCTCGCTCTCTCTCGCTCTCTGCTCTCTCATGCTCTGCTCTCTTCTCTCGCTCTCTCTCTCTTGCCTCTGCTCTGTCTCTTGCTCTCGCTCTCTCTTCGCTCTTCTGCTCTTCGGCTCTCTCTCTCGCTCTGCTTGCTCTCGCTCTCTAGTCTCGCTCTCTTCTCATCTTTCGCTCTCTTGCTCTCTCGTCTCTTGCTCTCTCGCTCTCCTGCTCTCTCGCTCTCTTGCTTCTCGTCTTTGCTCTCGTTCGCTCTCTTGCTCTCTCGCTCTCTTGCTCTCTCGCTTCTCGCTCTTGCTCTCTCGCTTCTAGCTCTCTCGCTCTTGCTCTTCGCTCTCCTCGCTTCTCGCTCTCTCGCTTCCAGCGCTCTTCGTCTTTGCTCTCTGCTCTTCGCTCTCTTCCCGTCTGCGGCGAAAGCAGGCGGTCATGCGCCAAGGCGAGGCGCAGACCAGCGTGCGGTGGCTGTGGCGGTGGCGTTGGGCGCTGCAACATTGATGAGACGCTGATGAAGGTGCCTCGCCTGCCAGGTGGCGGCGCGTTGGGCTGTCACACCGCCGCAGCAACGCGGACGTCAACTGTCGCCTGCGAGGTGAGACGGGGCAGATGGTTTGCTTGCGGCGCGTTCTATTGCTGATTATCCCTCAGTCAAGCATTCCTTTTTTGTTTCTTCTTCGTTCCCGGCCCGCTTGGGTGTCTATCGCATTGATTCGTAATCACCCTCTTGATACGTTGGTTTTTTGTTCCCTTTGGCGATTTTGTTTCGTCGTGTCCTCTTGTTTTTTTCTTTCGTCCTTACTTGAGCCCTTAGTGTAGTTTCTGTGATTGCGTTGTGTTGCGCTCTGAATTATATTCTACCAGATATGTGTCTCATCAGTCCTTTGCTTTCCAATCATGTTTAAGTCGTCACGTTAATTCATATTCTCCTGACTTATACCCTTCATTTATATTTATTTCGTATTGTATGATGACACGCACCATAACCAGCCTGGCCCAACACACGCAATTGTTTGTGTGGCCACTGTGTTTCTCTCACACCCAGATTGGAACACTTCATGCAATACGCAATAGGGTAGCAATTACTGGAGCTTATCAAACGGAAATAAAAGAC